CGATGCAGAATTCATCTACATTTTAGGGGGTAAATTATCGTGTTTACAGGCTTGAATAACCTGAAATCGTGACAATTGTTTTGGAAAATGAAAGCTATATGTTCTCACAATCTACTGTCATTTAATTTTGTCTCCTGCTTTGCCTAGTTTCCGAGTTACAACTTGTTTTCATAGACGATTCTGTCAAATTCGATTGGTGTCGTTAGGCCCTATTTGTATAATGACTGATCCAAATTGATCCCATTTCTGTGTTGTTTTACCTCGATATTTAATCATGTCATGTAAAAATCTGTTTGTATTCTCAAAACAGTGTCGGCCCATAAGTTTTCACATGCAATACAGCAATTAATACTCCCTCGTTGTAACCCGTGTTAGGTGGTATAAACCTACACATGTTATTTGTCATCATTCACTTGATGGTCAGTTAATGAATTTACAACAGGTATAATTAGTGGTAACACACTTAGATTACCCGACAAAGGTTCCCATTTGGCATTTCTTGTGTCTGGAGTAAATATTCAACATTATAAACATCGATCAAAGGATTAACCGATAACACGCTGATTGATTAATTACTTTTATCTTACACAGCGGAATTGTCAAAGGTAGTGTTTATGTATGTAGATTTACTAATCTATACTGAATACACTCTGCCGTGTCGGTGTCTGCGTAAAAACAACGTCCTTCTTTCAAAGGATTAACCGGCAATACATTGATTGATTGCCCATTATTGGCTAACTAAATTACTGTTTTTAAAGAAAGGCGGACATTATGCAATTAGTTGCCAGGTGTGCTATCTTGGGTGACCAATGAGACTATACACCAATACCTGAAAAGATTGATCACTTTTTCGTATATTAAACTGTTAAAAGACACATCATTTGGAACAGTTTTGTGGATATTGATGGATACATTCCTCGAACAAGGTAATGGCCTGATATTGTTCCTATAACTTTAATCTGTTCTAATTTTAATATTTGCATTTTGTTTTTATTCATTTGTCGTAGCATTCAACAGAATCATTGTTTTCGCCGTGAAGTGTAATGAGACAGACAACATGCACTAGGGTGTGTGTGCGAATTATGATTCACATTGGCAAACTATAAAATGTCTAGATATTACAGTTCTGTTATAAATTCACTATAAGTATCAGCAGATCGTCTGCTTTTTATTTAGTTTCAAAATTCATACAAGTGTGATAATAAACTAATTAGGATTATAAGACCAAATATAAAGACGCACATTGACTAGTATCTACATACTGGTGAGTGGACATTAACCATGGGAATGTAGCAAGAAATTTATCGCGCAGTATTGTGACTTCGACCCCCACCTCGCTTCCGTGGAAGAAATCGTTATGTTATAAGTTGTGTCATGCAAAATCCGTTTGGTTATGATTCCAATACATATTTAACAACGAGTAGAAAGTAGTCTTGATTTTCTAACTTGATGAAAACAAACTATAATCTCATTAATTCTAACAGATTTTTTTTATTTTTAAAAATGGCGGCGCCCTGTCGGGAACATCCGCCAGTCTGAGGATAAATGGTATTTAGGTTTGTTTTCACCGAGTTACAAAATCAAAACTACTTTCTACTGGTAGTAAAATATGTATTTTATTGATGGCCAATAGGATTTTGCATGACATGCGTATATCATAACAATTTCTCTGGTGGCAGCGAGGTTGGTGTCAATATAATACTACTTACAATATTATTATTATTACTTCGACCACAACCTCACTTCCGAGGAAGAAATCGTTATGTTACAAGTTGTGTCATAGAAAATCTTTATGGTCATCAATCATATGCATATTTTACTACAACTAGTAAGTAGTTTTGATTCTTTAACTTCCGTGAAGCGATCTGAACACAAGTAAGATATCGTTTCAGGCTTCCACAACGCTCGCTTCGCACTCACAAACATAACCCATTTAGCACGAACTGCGGGGTCCTGTGGAAATCTGTGCATGGGGACACCATCGCCCGACCCCTAGGAGCAATTGACGACAAAGCAACGATTCGGCATGTCGTCGTTGATGTCGAGAAATCATCAAAATGATGAGCGTGCTACACATTTTCTATACAACCAGGGATACTCTACAACTATAGAGTCTCCCTGATACAACTAACTGAAAATCGTTCCTCATATGACGTCACTGCAGCGCTCTGGCGACAGAGTTACGTAACCTGTCTGTGGTTTCGTTGGCGGGCGAGAGGGAAGCAGGCGACTTTTTGGCCACTTTTAATCGCTCGGTATTAATTAACCACAAGTTTTTAAAGAATAAATTTGGTGTTCCGCATAAGACTAACCACAAATCTTTCATATGTAATGGTTAAAAGAGTAACAAAAAACAAAGTTTAGTGGTTCTTTAAACAACTCTTTTATTTTTGTGACACAAATTCTGCAATTTTTTTCTAGAGTTGGTCTGTTCTGTTTATTGCAGTCGGCGTTGGTTTGGTTCTTTTATGTCTATTTGTTTTTGTGTTAGCTTGCAATTCATCGGTATCATTTTGACTCAAACAGACTTTGTAACGTTACTACAGTCATGAAGCACACTGGACAGTCATCCTTCTGGTAAAATGTAGACGAGCCTCGAGTGGTCCGAAGGGGTAGCCTTTTGGTTGAGGCGTTCACTTGTCACACCGAAGACGCGGGTTCGATTCCCCACATAGGCGCAATGTGTGAAACCCATTTCTGGTGCCCCCCGCCGTGACATTGCTGGAATATTGCTAAAAGCGGCGTAAAACCATACTCACTCACTGGTCCGAATTATTTGTTGAATCGCCATTTCCCATGCTTATGCCTTGTTGATAAACATATTTAAATATTTCTTGATAACAACCAAAGCGGTAGATGACAGAAAACACACCTCTATTATATCGACAAAGTAAGTGACAACACACACACACACACACACACACACCCATGTACAGCCCCCCCTATTTTAAGCATATAATTTAAATATCACTACAAAAGTACAAAATAGCTGACACTCACACACACCCAACCCACACCCACTCACACACACTAAAATAAGATAATTTCTGTGTGACAGTTGGCATTATATTTGACATCGGTCTTAGTGTTGAGTGGGCATATAACTGCCAAGTAATTTTTAACCAAAAATGTTTTAGTTTCACCGGCTATATAACTGTCCCTTACAGCTCTATTTTTTCATTGCAGTCGTTAATTCAAAAATATATTAGCAAAAAAAGGGGTAGCTTTTATTGTCTCTTTGTAGATTTTGCCAAGGCTTTTGATACTCTAAGGCATGATGTTCTTCTAAAGTCACTTTATGAAGTTGGTATACGAGGTAAATTTCTTATGCTGTTAACTTCTATGTATAGTTCTTTATCAGCTTCAGTCAGGACATCTAAGGGTGTATCAAATAGTTTTTATTGTAAAATCGGTACTCACCAAGGCTGTGTTTTGAGCCCTCAGATTTTTATTATCTTCATAAATAAGCTATGCAGTCTTATGGAGTTGGAAGGAGGTCAAGGTATTACAGTTTCTTCTTCTATTAGCAATCTCTGCTCTCTCATGTTTGCTGATGATGTGTCAGCAATAGCTGACACCTGTGCACAGCTGCAAAAAAAGATCAATGTACTTGGTAAATTTTGTGAGCAAACTGGTATGAGCGTGAATCTAAAGAAAACTAAGATTACTGTTTTTAGAAATAGTGGTCCCCTGCGCTCATATGAAAATTGGCTTTATAATGGCAATGTTATTGAAACTGTATCCTTTTACAAGTACCTAGGAATTATGTTCACTCCTAAATTATCCTGGAGTAAAGCTACATCTTGCCTTGCATCACAAGCTAGTAAGGCAATATTCTCTCCAAAGGAAACTTGGCAGCATTAATTGTACAGATTTATTTAAAATCTTTGATTGTATGATATCACCCATTCTCTGTTATGGGTCTGAAATCTGGGGCACATCCTACTGTAATACTATTGAATCTGTCCATATTAAATTCTGTAAATATGTCTTGAAACTTGGAAAATCCACCTGTAACAATATGGTCTTGGGTGAATGTGGAAGAGTGCCTTTACAGTTTACTTATACAACCAATGCAGTGAAATACTGGTGCAGACTTCTAAACATGCCTGACTATAGATTACCAAAACAATGTTATTTTATGCTATTATCTTTAGACAGGGTAGGACGAAATTCATGGGCAACTAGAATTAAAAATATTCTTTTTCAATTTGGTTTTGGATTTGTTTGGATAAGTCAGGAAATTGGTGATCACAAAATATTTATGGAATCATTTAAACAGAGACTACATGATAATTTATTTCAATCTTGGCATTCATCTTTGGACAGTAACTGTAAATGTCTTTACTATAAGCAATTCAAATCTTTGTTAAATGTTGAGAGCTACTTGATAAATAATGATATCCCTCAATATTTAAAAACTATATATGCACGATTTCGGTGCTGTAATTTTAAACTAGCAGTTGAAACGGGCAGATACACTGATGTTGCATATAATGAAAGGCATTGCCTGTTTTGTGAATTAAATCGTATCTTCGTTGTTGAAGATGAATGGCATGTGTTTTATATCTGTGATGCATATTCTCATATCAGAAATAAGTACATATAAAAATATTTTAGTAAATGTCCATCAATTATTAATTTTATATCAATATTACAGAGTAAAAATGTTAATATTATCAAGGATGTATGTCTATTTTTATACTTTGTTGACAAGAAACACAAATCTAAATGAAATATATATGTGCTCTACTTATCATCAATTTATGTACATGTATTTTGGGCCGGAGGCCTGTTACTGAAATAAAATTCTGTTCTGTTCTGTTCTATCAGTTAAAATATACCAATTTCCTATACGGAAAAATATAAAATTCCAGGAAAGGAATTTTTGCGCATTAAAAATAGCCATTAATCTGATATTCACAAGGGACTCACAGCAAGTCTGCTGAGAAAACGCGTGTATATCCGGAAGTTGATGTCACATGACATCTGTTGTAAAGATGGCGGACGCAGCTGACAGTGACAACCCGGCGTGAAATATATTCCAAGTGTAGAAGTATGCGCCTGCATCAGATATGAACAAACAACTTATGCGTAGGGATTTATATCAGAAATGGAACCTTCATACGTGAAGCTGCTTCTTATCATCGCCATTTTATTACCGTATACCTCATGTCTTCACTTAAAAGGAACATGGAACTCGGAAGGATTTTTCTTGTTTCTAGCAAAGTTTGGTTTTCAGAAAACCACATCTCCAGATTTAGACCGAACACAAGGTTATATTTTTGGAAACATCACCACAGACTCAAGTGTAAGCCTGGATCTTAAGCTTGTTGTGGTTGATAGTGAATATTTTATTGAATTTTACACAAATCGGACGTTGCCACGGGAAACTGCTTGTCCAAGAATGTTCAACAAGATAGACACAATCGCATTTGATGTTGATTGTAACCCAAATGGAGAACAAGATTTTCTCAGGAGGGTACCTTGTCCACATAATATGTTATGTTTGGATGAAGACGACCCACACAATGTAGTACCTGGGTACCAGTTTACCTACAAAGTAAGGGACACAGAACGACCAAGGTATGTACATATGATATTCTGCTAGGATGATACCAACAGCTGGAGCTGTATACGTTAATATCTAACTTACTTTGTGGCTTACTGATGGCTTCAGCCATTGTGGTCATTGATTATATATTAAATAGTGTATATCATTTACATTAAACATGTTAAAATATGGAACTGCACACTCATTTTTAAAAAAAAAAATCACTTAATTCATGAAAGAAGATGCTAGACCATGCTGTATATAATTGAATGTCCCTGAGTAATGATAATATTGATTATGTTGGTAAGATTTTGTATTGTCATTTATGTGATCAGAAAAAAACCAATGTTTCTTTAGTCCCCCAAAGCCTGTGATACAAGGATATACCTGCTTACACGTTTGCATTGTTATGTGATACATTTGGACCTGTGGGTCAACATTTGTGGATTGAGAGAATTCATAAATTTTCCAAACTCTTAGACAGAATTTATGGGGAACCCTTAGATTTGAAAACTAAAATTTGGAAATAAAATTATATGTTAAATATTGCTTTATTTCAGCAGGAACAATGCATATTGAATTTTTATGTTGTCAAGGTATTTTTTAACCCAAATTTGAAATTATTATCAACATTGTTGTTATCGTCTTGTTTATTACAGCTAAGATGCATTTACCAGATTATTCATAATTTTGTTTACAGACATGACAATGTATACTGCAAATTCTATCAAAACAAAACTTTCCCAGTGATGTTCTTGTCCATCTCAGAGTATGATAACCAGATTTTTAATTTGTAGTCCTATATACAAAGTATCTTGCAAAACAAATACTGATACTTATCAGTTTTCAACTTTTCATTTTGCATTATGTTCACAAAGGAAGCTGCTGAACCATGCTATATACTTGTATTCCCTGAGTTTTAATAATATTATCATACTGATATCAGTACTGTCAATCATTCCGATATATGATCAATAAATAATAATTCAGTACGCACAAATGTAGTGAATGGACACAGAATAATAATTCACAGCATCCAGAGGGACCCTCAATATTATTCATTGTACCCACAACACATGTATGACTTTGCTAAGTGTTCGGTTGTTTCTTTCAGAGCAGTTGTGTGCATCATTTCACCCATCAGCCTGCATGATCAATGATTCATTCCAGGCTCTGAAGAAATTATCAAAACATACAGTTCTCTAAACCGTTACTTCACAAGACCCTCATATTTCCTGCAAAACTAGTAATTAGTGGCCTGGGACTCCCATGTTTGTGAGTCGAGGTAAAACACTGATAAATGAATATTAAAACATGTGCATGAGTTTACTTTCAGTATGTCTATGACTTAACCATGTTCACTGTTCTTGAATGCCAATAGCAACTCAAAATGCACATTTATGTCAGGCTTTAGTTTAAAAGTTGAAATTTTATTTCATGGAGCTCTTAACATGTTTTCAAAGGAGCCAGTATGAAATCCAATGAGCCAGGAGAAAATGTATGAGGCAAACTTTAAAGTTGATAGGATTAGCAGTGTTAGCAAGTTATAGTACCTCATCTGAAACATATCCTAGCTGGTAATATTTCTTCAACCAATCTTTTTGAAATTTCCTTTGACTTGTATTTGTATCTGTTGAATTGCCACACCCTGATTTCTCGTTTTGCTGCTTTGAGTTTTTTAACTTTTATGTCGTTGCACATGTTGAACACAATGCAAACTGTTAACATTGCCTACAGTATTATCTGCCTTATTGTGCATACCACTGACGTGCTGATTATTACCATGCCTACCTTTCATGTCAAGCACCAATGATTCTGTTTAAATGCTGGTGTCGGTCATTCCATAATTCTATGCTGAATTTCATATTTGAAACCAGTGTTAGAAATAGCCTCTGGCCCGCTAGCCAGTCGGGCCTGTAAATCTCCACATGCACTGGCCCGACTGGTTAGTGAATTATCACTTGGTCATTTCGTAAATATATCACTCTCTCCGACTTGTTAACTTATGATACACTTTTGAATCATGCAAGATTATGGCCTGATAAAATGTTCATCATATTAGCAGCTTAATGAAGAAACTCTTGTCTACATTCAATTTTCGGGCTAGTGAATTATTTTGTGGGCTAGTAACTTTCAGGCACAGCTAGCCTGACTGGCTAGCAAAATTTGGAAACTATTTTGCACACTGTTTGAAATTAAACCACACCATAAACATATGATTCCTCCTTCAATTTAGTGCTGTTGATTTAAAAGTAAGTTTCTATGAATGAAATTAATTCCTGGTTGGTGCGACACAGTCGGTAATGTGTCACAAATAAACAAAGTCTTAGTTGAGAACATGTTAATGTGGTGTTTAGAGGTTACTAAACTTGCTAAACAGATTTTATTCTATTATTGTAATAACATCTGTGTCACCTCAATGTCCCCCAGTCTCAAACATTTCCTGGTCATTGAATAAAATGTCAGTGGTCATAGATACAGTTTTGAAGATGAACAATCACTTCAAGTCTTTGGGTACAGTTTTGCTATTTCAGGTACCAGACATTCACTTGTTTAGGTATGCGTAGGTCCAGGTTGCCCAACTTTTGGTGTACGAGTACAAGTCCCAAAAATGTGTGGACAGGAATCTTCACTGGTGTCAATTGTCCTTCAATCCTTCAAGTAACCGTGACATTCATTTTATTTGTTTATAAGTCAAAGTTTACTACTGCATGTCATGATTATAGCTAGGTAACCTCCCCAAACCCCTTCATCCCATAACCCCTACAGCTTAAAACAACAAAGTTCATGGTCCAGTGCACTGCTAATCTCCTGCCTGTTACCTATTTCATACAATGGACTGCCCAAACAGTTAGCAATTGAGAGAATGATTTTAATGAGCAATAACCAAACTAAGAGTTTGAGAGAATGGTTTTAATGGATGATAACAAAAACATTTTTAAAAAAGTTCAATAATATTAAACTTGAGGTTTAGTCATCTCAAATTATTTATCCCAGTTTACTATCTCCAACACAATTACAACTGATATTATTACGATTTGAAAAATCTGTCTACTCACTATGTACATCAGGAGGCTAGAAAAAACTAGTTCAACATTTAATTCATCTCAGTTATTTAAAACGATTTATCAAAAACCTGAATAACAATGGCACAATCTTATTCCCTTCTCATCTGTATACTCTATGCAGCTTAACCTCACACTGTATACTCCACCCTGTAATCTATCCTTTGGGTCAGGTCATTATGCCAGACAGGTAAATGCTGCGTGTTGTTTTAACTGATTGTAGGGGGGTACTGGGCTGTAGGAGTTATGGGATGTAGGGGTTTGGGAGACGTAGCATGTTTAGTATGTCTCTGGTGGCACTGGGTGAGGTGTGATAACCTAGAGTGTTTACACGGGTTCGATTCCCCAAGATTGTACAATGTGTGAAGTCCATTCTAGTGTCTGGTGTCCCATGATATTGCTGGAATATTGCTAAAAGTGGTGTAAAATCATACTCACTAACTACAATGTGTGAAGCCCAGTTCTGATTTTGACTCCCACTCCTTCACTGTGTTATTGCCAGATGGTGGGTCAGCTTAATGGTTAAACCTTTAACTTTGTACAAGAAAGACCAGGGTGTGATTCCCAGTTGTGTACAATGTTCGAAGCCAATTACATGTGTCCCCCGAAGGGTGAAGGGGTAGCCTAGTGGTTAAAGCAGGGGCTCTTCACGCCAAAGTCCCGGGTTCGATTCCCTACATGGATACAATGTTTGAAGCCCATTTCTGGTGACCCCCGACATGATATTGCTGAAATATTGCTAAAAGCGGGGTAAAACCATACTCTCTCACTCACCCACTCTTGTGTCCCCGCTGTGATTGTGCCGGAATATTTAACTGTACTTACTCTTTGGCTATATTTTCAATTGTTCATGAAACCTCTTTGTTATTAAACTTGTAGAGATCAGAGGCTTCAAGTAAAATCAAATTCAGGGGTCCCAAGATTCAAATAGCTAAGGTAACTGGGTTGGTAGGTTAGCTCAGTGTTAAAACTTTCACTTTTCAGGCAAAAACCTGGGTTCAATTCCCACATGGGTTAACATGAAAATGTGAAGCCCATTTCTTATGTCCCCTGCTTTGATATCAATAGAATATTGCTAGTGATCTAAAACCACACATCCTTTAACACAGGAAATCTGAAATACCCTGACATTTATTGTTTTTCTTATCCAGAAGCAAATATCGCTTCAGAAATTGCACTAGTTGGCAGGAATATATAATCGCAATCATTATTCTGGGAACTGGAACTGGTGGAACACATTGTCAAACAGAGAAGTAATTAAAGTGCAAACTCTGAATAACCATGACTGTGAATGGAAGTTTGACAACTGCATCTGTTGCACATCCCCTAATGTGAAGGAGAGTTGACAGTTGCATGCAAATCTAGTTACATTATGTATTTCACAGAGAAAGCTTTTGGAATGTAGGCGATCAACAACTGTGCTCTGGTGGAATCTAGATGCCATTGACAAAAATAATTATGAGTAGGATGAAGGTGTGTCATACACATTGTCATAGGATATAAATGGTATGGTCTAGGTAATCATTCTTTTCATCACGATTTTGCTTAAATATGTACATTTTTGTCAAACTTTGACTATTTAATTTTCTCTTTTTACATTTTCATTCATGTCATTCAATAACTTGAACATCTGTCAAGGACTGTAGCAAAGTTAATTTAATTATTTTCATAAATAACAGTTTTAGACACGTTTTTGTGTGACATGCAGAATTTCCCTGTCTGTGATATTCTTCACTGATAAGGCAGTCTCGGGAATGAGTGACCCCCCTCTCAGGTAGTCACTTGCACGTGTAATGGGGGACCGACTCGCGCACACGGTACAGCCTCTACTGATTGAATTTCTGACATTGTCCTGTAGACTACCTCCATAATCATATAATTATGGAAACATTTATTTAATTTTTGTTTGAGTATCAAGTGTCAAGGGACGGAGATGCAAATTTTGTTGCAACTTTTTGGGCAAATTC